TTCCAGCCCAGCTATCCATTTGCCAAACTAAACAAATGAAGCTTTCTGGGGGCACGTCTCCGGGGTGGTGAGGAATGCCAGGTACGCTGGACCCCCACTTGGACCCCAGTGAGCTGGCGCGTTCAAACTCGAGGCGGCGCTGAGTAGGGCACAAAAACTAGCTTCCAGCCCAGAAGGTCATATGGGTGCAATACACAACTGTAAATAGTGAACCACAAAACCACTGGGGCTTTTTCCCCCCGCTTCTCCAAGCTTGTGAGCTTATTCCTAAAATCCTTTTTAATGTAGCTGCCTAGCCAGTTAGGTGTAGAGTCCATTCCTCTAAGTTTCTTCCTCGTCAGCTGGCATACAACTAGCTAATAACATTAGCACCTTTGACTTAAAGGGCCTAGGCATAGTCTATGTTAAAGGCCCTGAGATGATCTGCTGGTTCATTTCATTAATTTGTCCTCTGGAAAAAGAGAACCTTACTTATAAGCTTACTTTTGTTCATACTTCCATTCACGTTAAACTAACTGTATGCTTTTCATTCAACCCAAGGTAGTTTTGCTACTAACTGTTCTAGAATATCCTAAATCACTTAGCAAAAACTGAATCTAAGCCAGTCCCACTGTTTGCCAGGTTGGTGTTTCTTTGGTGCAGAAACCTGCAATCTCTTGTACAGCTATTATCTGAGCTCTGCTGCAATTACTAGCATTTTTCTGATCCCTCTCTGCAAAGTTTTAAGTACTCCACAATGATATAATTCCCCAGCAAAGTTTATGTCCTAAGAAACACTGCAGATTTCCCTGCCATAGCCCATGCAGCCCTGGGAACTGCCATCAAAATCGCAGAAGTAGCTCAGCAGAACCTCTTTTATGGTCATGCTTAAAAGTGGGTTAGATTTAAAAAAAAAATTCAGCCCTAACCAGCCTGTCCCTCCTTATCCCTCTGCAGTCCTTTCCATCATTAACACAAAATGCTACCTACTGTTTTTTTTACCCATAGCTCTTTCTCTTCTGAACAGTGCTTTCTCCTCCACACCTGTGTCCCAGTCATAATTGCTATTCCACAGTGCATCCATTACCCCTATATCATTCTGTTTTACAGTTTGTGAAAGGAATACATGTTCTTCTATTTTATTGCCCAGCCCCCAGCCATTATTACAAACAAAATCCCTCATGCTCATCAAACCTTGTTCACCACCTGGATTAGGAGCACTCCTTTCATTACACTGCAAATAACAATTCAGTATTATTTTGCTTTCCCAAAAGCCATTAATCCATTAATCTGAGCTACTTAGTAGCCTTAGAAGTAGAAAAGCAGCTCAAATCTCTTCTGGATTTGCTGCAAAGTTTGGCTTTTTAAACCTTTCACCTCAGCCTGTCTCTCTCCTGGAAGCACAGTGACAGTGCAGGAATTACCATACACTGCAGCAGCCTAAAGGCTTAGGGTGAACATTGCATATACACTTAATATTCCACATTATGTGTAATGTCACCCATGAATGAGACAAGCTCTGTCACTAGAAGTGCATTTCCACAGGTATAATTGCAATCTCCATTCAGGGTTGCAACTTTTCACACTGCAGAGCAGCACGTCTCTTCTAGAGGAAAGCTGTGTTGTCATGTTCACCAAAAGCTGTGACAAGATGCAGCAGATTTCAAAATGTCCATGAAAAGCAGAATAGGCCCAAAAGATCAGCGATGTTTAAGGAAGACGACAGGTCTAAAGGACCCGAATAAAGGGAAGGGACAATATGTGGGAAGGAAGAGAGGAAGGGAAAATCCCTGATGGAGTAAGTTCATTCAGTTCTCTTGCTCCCATAGTGAAGACTTTGAGAATTTTATTTTAATCAGAAATAACATCTAACATCCAATGTCAAGAATCTCCCTAGTTTCTGAAAACTAAAATTCTGCAGATGACCCTGCCTGAGCAGGGGGCTTGGACTAGATGATCTCCAGAGGTCCCTTCCAACCTCAACCGTTCTGTGATTTGGGGAGGTTGCCTTAAGCCTGGTTTTCTAAGGCAGTGAGTCTTGCCTGATGATGCTGCCTGTCTGTCTGTCAGAAGCTCTTGCATCTTCTTTCTCAAATAATTTTTGAACCAGTCAGTCCGAGTCAGATGGGATATGATAGAGATGACTGCAGTACTGAGTTTCTTTGGGTGTCAGGATAATAGGCCATTGGGTAGGGAGACTCTAGTTGTGTCCTCTCTGAGAGAGGGACTGAAAAGCACTAGCCCCTATTAGGCAACAGAGAATCCACAGGATAGCCCTTAGTAACTCAGCTTCTTTGGTCCTGGTGATCATGGGGAAACCAGATCCTGTTTTTCCTTGCTTTGTATTTTCCTCTCATTTTTTTTTTTTTCTTCTGTGTCCCCTCTCCTGCCTCGCACCTCTTCCTTGACTCATTTTGTTGCTGGACGAGTAGAAGAGTAAACAACAGGGAAGACAAAATGGATCTTCTGTAGCTTCTGATTTTTGCTGAAAGTCTGGGGCACCACTGACCTTTCCTGAAATAGATTTATGAGTTTTCCAATTCAGTTATGAAGAAAAAATGTATTTAGCTGCTAGACTACAGGACAGTCTTTGCTTTGCAACTCCTCCACCTGGAGAAACTGCAGTGACAACAAAACCCATTGTGTGTTATTGGCATAAATCTCTACCAAGCTGCGAGACACATGCGGCTATGCTTAGAGAAGGATGTGCCTTTTGGAGCCTCAGGGGCTATCCTAAGATAGATTTTGGCTTTGCACCATATTAGCTCATGGATGGTGCAGCCCCAGGCAGGCAGAGGCCTCCAGAGGAAGGGGAGAGGGTGGACAGGGGTTTGGTGGTGTTGTCCTTCTCCCTCGTACTGTTTCTATGAGGTGAGGTTCAGTCGTGGCTGAATATGACACCAAAAGCTGGTGTTTCTCTTCTCTTCCAGGAACGGAGGGCAGGAAGAGAAGTCTTCCTTGCTCTCTGTTTGGAAGATGCCAAGCCACCTCTCAGACACGACCTGCCCCTTCTTTAAATAGCATGAGAAAGCTTAGCCAGGCCATCCTGCCTTGGCCCTCGATGCTGGCAGCTCAGATAGTGCTGCAATCTAGGATTAGGGGATGATGATTTGAATAGAAAGCCAGCTAGGGCATAAACTCAGCTCTGAACTGAACATGTGATGTGAAAGTCAGTCATTCATTCCTGGGTCATTGGCTTTCCTCTGGCATGGATCAGTAGAATCAGTTTGTTTATTTTTTGTTTTAATCTGTCAGTCTTCTGTAGGACTTTGTTTTAGTTTAAAAAAAAAAAAACCAAAACAACAACAACGCCATGCACAGTCTACTTGCCAGTGGTCAAAAGACCCCAATTCAAAACCAGCAGTGGGACTTGGCACCTGTCTGCCTTCTTTCAAGCAGTCCCAGAGACTATGCTTACCCTTAAAAATGACTCAAGCAGAGCAAGGATTGAAGTTTATTTTTGCAGAGGATGGAGCAATCCTATAGCAATCCTTTTTTGCAGATAAACTGTATTACCTGTTTCCCAACAGGGTAGGTCATGAACATTTAGAGACTACTAAATTCAGATTTCAAGGAAACATCAAAACATACAAAGAGGAACTTTGGAAAAATAATCCAGAGTCTGTCAAGTGACTAGTGATAGGAAAGCATGTCTTCAGTCACATGCTCTTGCAATATATCTGAATCAAGCAAGGTAGGTGCCAACCCAGGCTTGCATAACTATGACATTAACTTGTCTATTCATGTCATAAATTGGAGCGGACCATGTTTATTACAAATTAATCTGCAACTCGCTTGTGCCTGAAGTTCAGGGCAAAGGGCAGGCAAAGGAGAAATGGGTACAGACGTACCCGAGATACGGTCAGACGCTGGCTCTCCAACTATGCCTTGTATCACCACACAGCTTGATATCCATGTATCAGTCAATACATCAATCATAGCAATATCCGTGGAGATAAAGGCACATGGTGTTCCTAATACTTGTATAACAACACCCAGTGCATTCGGTAAACTTCCTTTTGAGGACGTCAGCTCGGTCACTAGGAAGGGAATTACTCGTTTTAAAGTTATGAATGAAGCCCTAAAGATGTTGTAGTGTACCTCCATGTAAATCACGTATCCTCCTGCCCTGACGTTATGACCACTAACATCAGACACCATCAAAATGGCCAAGCTTTCTCTGCCACCGCAATCTTCTCTTACCACATGTCCCTGTCTCTTGGGGGCTACTACACTGCTGCACCATCCTTAGGGAGGAACCATTACAAAGCTCTTGGTTTTCCCCTGATTGTGCCCTTTGCCAGGTGCTGCAGAAAGATTTTTTTTTTCCCCATGAATCCTGAGCTGTTATTTTGGAAATGATAGTGCCATGGCCAAGGCCTGCTCTCAGTTGCAGAATAGCATTTTTCTTATAAAACGTCCAGCCACAAGCCAACAAGCAAGGTAGACCTCCAGACTCTTTGTAGCCTATTGCATAACTTGCCCCAGTCACCCCATTTGTTAGAAACTCTTTCTGATCACCACAGATGCAAGCAGACAGCCCTTTCTCTTCACAACACATGCAGAAACAAAGATATTCTAAACTAAATCTTAAGTTCTGCCACAGCTAATTCAGCTGCCAGAAAAGATCTTGTCATACAATACACCAATAACCTTTTCGCTTTTCTTTCCCTTACCCTTTTGTAAACCAACTCTGACACTTGCTTTGGGATTTACCTTTTCACTGTAACTTGGTTTTATTTGTTTTTGGTGTAGGAGCCCAGGAGCATTACTCAATGAAAAGTCAGTTATTGCTGACTATAACAACAGAGAAACTAACTGGAATTCCTGACAATTTATACATCAAATTATTTGAAGGTCCTTAAACATTACTGCCAGACGTTTATCTACAACAGGAAATATATTCTTTAGATTAACATACTTTGCTACCTTTGCCTTTCACGCCTCCTCCTTCCTGACAGAAGGACAGCCCCTAAATCATATGACTGGGCACAACAGATTACACATTGTGAAACACCCCTATTTCCCTCAGTCCTCAGACAGAGGGAGAGCCACAGCGTGCCAGAGCCCAGAGTGGGCAAGGGAAGAGCTGAGATGAACCTCCTTCCGTCCTTCTCGGTTGAGACCTGGGCTCTCTTGCTCATTTTCTTAGCTCTCCTGACATTGTGAGTAAAACGTCCTTTACTGGTTCTTTGCTCATGCCGTTTTCCTGTTCTTTTCATTGTTCATTTTAATGTAGCTAGTCTGCTGAAGCGCAAACAGGTAGGTGTGATTTCCAAGGCACTGGCAGAAGATCCATATGGACACGTGGTCTAAAGATCCATATGGACATGAGCTCTTCCTCCAAGACACAGAGATCTGCACTATTCCTGCGCACTGTTAGAAGCTTGCTTCTAAGCATCAAGGTAATACTGAATATCTGGCATTCTCCATTATTCAATTAACAGCAGGATGCAAGCTTCAGTAAGGAACAGGGTCCATTATGCAATTTTGGACAGAAACAGAGAGTCAAAGAAGTCTACTGGCTAGAAGTTGCCCTGTGCAGGAGGGTAGGCCGTAAATGATAATACTACATGACCTGCAAAGGTAGAGAGCAGCAGAAAGGCAGCAGAGAAAGAGAGCATTCAGAAGATCAGTTCTTACTCTTCCTGACTCCTTTAGTAGTGCCCAGCTAAGGCTGCTCCATGCACCAAAACCTGGTCCAGGTTGCTTTGCAGGAGTTAGACCTTCAGCATACCTACAGGAATATCACACCAGGGCTTTTCCGCCTAGCCCACCCTTGCTGATCAAAGAAAGGGAGCCCAAAGCAAGGCCAGCGCTCTCCTCCTAGGTTTTCAGACAAATGCTGTCAAGCAGAAACATACCTTGCTGCTGCAGAGGCTGCCATGCCCATGAAGAGTGCTTTTCTCAGCTTAGCAGATGCCATTCAGAGCGTAGCAGGGCCAGCCAAAACCCCTTCTGCTGGGACACAGCATCACCCCTAGCACCCTGCCAACAAGGCTGGGCTGGCAGAAACTTTGCAGGGCTAACAAGCCTTTAGGCAGGAACAGCATGTTTCTAGCCATAAACCTTAATGATTAATGCAATGCACATGAGCACAATCCATTTATCTGTGCTGGCAATGCTCCAGCCTCTACACTTCAGTAAGGTTTCTGCCTTCTGAAACTTTCAGCCCTGTTTTTGAACCCCTTCCTGTGATTTGGCTTAGGTAGTTTTGTGCCACTCAAAGACTTGTTTGGGGCAGGCTCTTTCCAAAACCTTCTGTTTATTTGACCCAAACCTTCCTGTCTCAGTATCTCTGTGGTCATGCCCGATTTGCCGGTTACCACATCCCTGCCTCCTGCAACCAGTTGCAGTTGCCTGCAAGGGACAAACCCCAGGAGCTAAAGCAGAAAATTCACCGCTGATTTGTACTAGGAGGCTGTTCCAACATTTTTGCTTCTGTCTGGGGCAACGCTGTTCTAGTTCACAAACAAACAATTATCAGGCATTTCTGGCTCAAATCCAACTTGAGAAGATGTAATGACTATTCTCTGGCTTTACGCTGAATGGCCCTTCCCAGATTGCAGAAAAGTGTGTCACGTTTTAGTTGTAAGAGTGTTAGGCTGTACTGTCCTGGCTATATTTCAAATGAATTCAGCCTACTCTCTGTTCGTATACTGTTTCTGGGCTTTGTAACCAGCCAAACCTGGCTTTTCCTGGACCTTCTGCAGCTCCAGCTGCCTGTAAACATTACAAATGAGCATCCATAAACATTTCAAGTGGAGCAGTGAATTAAACCTTGAAGGAAAAGGTTAAAACTGAGGCAGGGGAAGTTTCAGGCCACATCAGAGCTGGGAAGAGTGCAGGCGTTCCCTTACTTCCCAGCCTGCTCCGTGGTCAGCGGCCGCATTCAGCATCAGAGGGGGCAGCGGTTACGCGGGGAAGGAGTTGCTCTGCAGAGACACAAGCTCTTGGAGCAAACGCAGAAAAACTGGTAAGGGCTCTGTGAACCGATTCCTCACCTGCAAACACCATGTAATGGTACCTCCTCTGTTCCCTAGTTTTTGCTTGCTCTGTTTGGTCTGTCAGAGGATGTTCAGTTCTGTGCTCAGGTCAAACCTGGGCCAGCTGGATTGGTTTCATTCAGGGCTTCCCCCAGGTTTAGAAAAGTAAACGTTACTAATTGCAAGGGAAACACCTCTACATCTCAGCCAGCCTCTTGCCTTGCAGAAAAGATTCACCAAGACAAGGGCGGACTGAGCAACTGCTTTGCACGGCCCACAAGATCTCCGTTAACATCCCTTTGTCAGACCGTAGCAGTTTTACATCCCCTCTGCAAAGATCCACTCACTTGGGAAGCTGCAGCTACTAACAAAAAAACAAATATTTTGAGGAGCTCTTTCAACACAGCCAAAGATGAGCTTCAAAGGGCTGCAGCCTAGACCCTCGTTGCGAAGCAGAAGGCCCCGAGGTAGAAGTAATAACTTTATAGCTGCCAAAAAGGGTGTTTCAGAGGAAAGAAATCTGCAAAGCTGTCAATAAAATCTAAAGAGAAAATCACCAAGACAAGACTTCCTGACGCACCACTGTGCTAACGCTGGGCTAAGGGGAGGGAGAACGATAAATGAAATTAAAGTGCAGCTTGACAAAAGCCCTGTTTGGGATATTACTTCTGGCACTGCTTTGATTTCTCTACAATAATAATATGTAAGCTTGATGTTCATTCTTCCATCCCCTCCTTTACTGCCTCTCCTCCGGTTGGCAATGAGCTCCTCTTCTGCATTTTGCTAAAGGCTTTAAGGTCCTCTTTCCGCTGGAGCACCTATTCCTTTAAGAAGCGATTGCTTTTTCCTCAAAGCCATCTCTCTGAAGATCTGTGTAGCAGCAGTGAGGCTTGCCGTGTTTATTAAGTAGTTCTACTGGGTAATATTCTTTTGGGCCACTTTTTTTCCAGCTCCCAGACCAACCTCCTCTGCTCTGAGCCAAAGTGGCATTGCTGCAGTCCTGAGTACGTTTTGGGGAGCTCACAGTCCCAGCCCCACGGCGATGTAGCACTCAGTTGCATCTCTTGTCTTACAGATACGGGATCTGGCCATTTGGTTTGTTCAAGAAGTTAGGTATTCCCGGGCCAAGGCCTCTACCTTTCTTTGGGACGTGCCTGGAATATCGCAAAGTAAGTGATCGAAGCCTCCAGGAACAGCTGCCTTTGCTCGTACAGCTGCAGCTAAATGGATACATGGCAATGATAAGTTATCTACAAACGGCAAGCTCTGCTCTAATGCTCGGGTTGTGCACAGGCTGGTGCGGGATGTC